AAAAAAATCGCTACTGGTAAAACAAGTGGTGATTCTTCCAAAGAACTCTCGAATTTCTTTCAAGAACGAAGTTTTAGATTTTCCATTTTATGATATTGCGCAAGTGTCGTCATTGTTGTATCAATCATTAATCCGCAAATAAATTTAAAAACCGATTACGTACATGATTTTGGTGGTGATACTAGGTGGGTCTTTGGCAAGTGTTAGTGCTGTTACTGGCTTTTTGAAGTGTCAAGTCGGAACTTGGAATTTTTCGTAATAGGCAACATAGTACTAGTATAATGTTTTTATTTAGTATTTTGATATAATAGATAATCGTTAAATATGCCAATGAAGGTTAGTATTATGTTTGTAAACATTTGTTGCTACTGCTATGTTTAAGTTGACTATTAAGATTGACTAGTTCTGGAGAAGGAATTGGTATGTACTTTTCTTAATAGAGCAACCTTGGCTTATTATGGAGATCTACGTTCATCTGTACTGTGTTCTTGAAAGAAATTCGAGAGTTCTTTGGAAGAATCACCACTTGTTTTACCAGTAGCGATTTTTTTTTCTCTTTGTTTGAGTTTGCGGTTTTTGGTGCGCAAATCTTTAGGTATCTTATATTATAAGTCATCTTTGAACAATGGATCTGTTCCGGTAAATATGATATGATACATATTTTATATTTTTTTTAACAACACAAGTGCTCATTAACGTTTTGTAATTAAATAATAGTACATTCTACAGTTCTAGAACACAAAGACCAAACACTTAATTTATTTTTGGAATGGTGAATGTTTTAATCTAAATTGGTAAATACAGTAGTATGTTTGATGGCGATGGTGGGTTTATATTTCCACTTTGTTTTAAATTGTATTATACATATATTATAAATTGGATTAGAGAAGCTATTACATGTTAACAAGGCTGATCTGTGCATTACAGGTCTGATTTTAATTAAGTGATCTTTACATTAAAAAGCATGTTCATAATTAAATGGGAGGCAATAGAATTTAGATTTTTTTTAAAGACAATAAATAAGAACTTGTCCGAATTAATAAAAAGTTTTTTACAAGTTCTTAATTGAGTTATCTTTACAGCAGTTCTAAAAAAAAAAGGTTGCTTAATTTTATTGATCGTGTGATTGGCCAATTTGGAGGTCTGCAAATTGTCTATATAGTATCTCGACTCGCTTTTAAATTTAAACTTTTTTGTAACTCAGATCCACTTATTTGATTTAGTTTGCAAATATAAAAATCGGGTTTAGCTTGCAATATAAGTTCATCTTATACGTACGTACAGGCCCTCCTGAATTATTAATAATTAATAATGATTATTAATTTTAATCGAATTATTAACTAATAACGACTTAATAATATATGGCGCAGCTAATTAGTATAGAATGTATAAAAAACGAAAAGTTGCGTCAATATTTTCTCAAAAATTGCTGAGATATTGGCGGGCCAAACTTTTATTAAATCCGTTGGTAGTTTATTTAATTCATCATATCGATATTATTAACGATGATCGAAGTTATTAACTATTTATAATATTAATAACGCATTATTAATTTTCTCATTATTAACTAAATTATATACAAATTCCGCTCAACAAAGATACAATCATTAGTGGTTATAAGGCTCCAACATTGCCAATGCCTTGTGCATATTTTCGACAGCAGTTGGAATATCGTTGTAATTTAGCGCACTAATAGCCCATTTACAATGTTTCTGAGCAGTAGCTACGATATTAGGATCAATTTCAGTGAAATGATGTGCGAGTTGAGTGTAAGGACGAACATGCTGTGGACTGGTAGGCAATGAGCTCGGTGTCGTTGGTTGGTAAGTTGGAGAGCTATAAGGCTGGACATAATTTTGAGGACGTGGAGGAGGGTTACTGGGGAATGAGGAAGGAGGTTGATGACGAATGTCGCCAGGTATTGATGGGGGAAGTGGAAGAGGAGGAGGAGGAGGATTACTAGGAAATGATGAAGGAGGTAAGGTGTCACTGGTGTACCCAGGTATTGATGGGGGAAGTGGAGGAGGAGGAGGAGGATTACTAGGAAATGATGAAGGAGGTAAGGTGTCACTGGTGTACCCAGGTATTGGTGGGGGAAGTGGAGGAGGGTTACTAGGAAATGATTCTTCAACCATTAGAGGTGCCGAAGGGAATTGGTCAATACTAGGGAAGTTGTCAGATGGATTAACGTAGTCCTCTCTTGGTGGCTGTTGTAAAGCAGGTTCACCCCCAGGAGGACCAGGTGTCGGAACTTGTCCTTCTTTCAACGCTTTGACTATATCATTCGCCTTCCATTTTGCATATCTGATTTTTTCTTCGATCTAATAATTTAAGATACGTTAAAGACATTGTTATTTAAATAATTTTATATAAGATGTATTACTTACTTCTGAGTTAAGTGGTCCAAATACTTTGAGAAGTTCTAAAAAGACAGCAGCCGCCAAGAAGTTTTTGGCAGTTTTTCTATTAGAAAAATAATCAATTTTTTTTTTTATTTAAACAAGAAAATCAAAAACGTATAAAAAGCATAGGAGGCTGATATATATATCCCCAAATTTGTTATTCATACCCTACAAAATTTAATTTTTTTTCAGTAATTTCTTGATAAGATTTAATAATTTTTTTTTATTTTGATTTTAGATATATAGAATCAAAATAAAAAAAATTCATCGAATTTGGTTAAATGGCCACCATGTTAACTTTCCAAAATATTTAAAACGGTTATCAAAATAATAAATACAAAAAAGTCCTTGAAACTTATCTCAGTATCCATCTAACTAAATTTAATGAACTTTTGTTTTCTTTTGATTTTACATGTTTGTAGAATTAAACCAAAGTTTGTCGAATTTGGTCAGATGGATACTGAGATATAGTCCCTCAAATTTTTAAAAATTTTGCCGTAGCTGTTATTTTGATAGACGTTTTGAATTTTTCAAAAATTTGAGCGAAGATATCTCGGTATCTATCCAATAAAATTTGATAAACTTTTTTTTTAATTCTACAGATTTGTAGAATTAAAACAAAAAAATTCATCGAATTTGGTTAAATGGTTATCGAGTTATTTTCGCTCAAAGTTTCAAGAATTTTTTTGTATCTATTATTTTGATAGATGTTTTAAAACTTTGAGTGAAGATTCTTGGCAGCCACTTAACCAAATTCGATGAAATTTTTTTTATATTGTTTCTACAAATCTGTAGAACCAAAATAAATAAAAAAAATTATTAAAGAAGTTACTAGATATCTTTGCTCAAAATCAGAAAAAAATTTAAATTTTGTGGGGGTATGAATAATAAATTTGGAGGTATATATATCAGCCGCCAAAGCATATAATTGATCTAAAAAAATGACTAACTTTGTAGCTTTTCCCGCCCTGTCTTCGTTATCCGCATTTAAGAAAACTTTCAACCCGAAATTCTCCACATACGCTTCACCAACAACATTGTTCACGGCAGCCTCATTGTCATGAAGCGCTTTTTTTTCCTGGTAATCCACAGCAAAAATTCAAATATAAATAAAATATTTAGGATTATTATTAGAGAATCATTAGGAATAATAATTTTAAAACTAAATTTATGAAAGTTACCTCTTCAAGGACGTCCAGCAATCTAGCAAGAAACGCTTTACTTTCTTTACTCTTTGTTCCTCTTTCGAGAGCGAGTTTTACAGAATAAAAATTGCCTAGGTAAGTATAAAAAGAAAATTATATAATAACGCGTAAATTTTGATCTGTTAAACAACTCCGGTGCAAGCCGATCTTCGATCTTACAATAATAAGCTATAACAGGCTCTCTACTTCTTAACTCTTGAGCTCTTTGAAGGAAACCATTGATAAATTTAAGTTCGTCTGGAAGTGTAGGAAGTGTCATTGAAACGAATTCTGCAAAAAGAATAAAAAGGCGTGTCGACGAAAGTACAGTATATATAACTGATCTACGATAATCCCAAGTCGGCCGGCTTACTGCATACTGCAAGCCGGCTGATTTGAAACACTAAATCCCAACGATAAGTCCAATCAGATCACGTTGAATATGATTTAAAAAATTATAAATAGCCTGCCTTGACTGCAGAAAACTTAAAACGGATGGATAATAGTATAGTTGCAACTTCCACAATGCCTTTATCAACTACTCATTTTAATATTTCCGAGCGAATAGACGTAGACGGTGATACACCTGTGAAACTCACTAATAAAAATGGCATAAAAACAACCGATATAATTAAAATTAATCAAAAAAAGTATGAACGCAAAGTTAAAAAAGCCAAACTAAATGCTCGTTCAGGTTAGTAAATGCTTTTTTTGTTAGGAATTTTTTAGCCAAATGTCTCAATTTTAGTATTTTATATGGATTCTTTTAAGCCTAAACTTGCCCTTAAAAAACGAAAAATCACACCACATTTATATGACGTAGCTCTTTTTATGTAAAACTTTCCCAAAATCATTTTAATCTTTTTCTAATAATGTCCCGTTTTAGTAAAAGGCTCATGCTCATTTTGGCATTATGTTATTTTATAAGTCCTTATTGAGGATTGGTGCGCAGCGGATGAAGTTGATTAAAATGTTTCGTATAAGTTTTATAAAATTGTCGGATATGTTGTTTTAAAAGTTATCTAATAGTCTTGCTATAATAAAACTAGAACTTGACATATTTGAATGGTCCAAGTTTGGTTTTGCCAACAACAATTATTGGATTTCATCATGTGCTGACAAAATTCCTCGAATCGATGAATCGCAAGTTTCTCGGGAAGAATTCATCAAGAAATATGAAGCTCCTGCTTTACCTGTCGTTATTACTGGCTGTACAAGAGGCTGGGCAGCAGAAACAAAATGGAATAAAGAGGTTAGTTAAGAATTTTATTTTAAATTTATAATTATTGGGAAAGATTGTAATATAAATTTTAATTTAATAGGAACTTTTGCGAAATTATGCTCGTCATAAATTCAAAATCGGCGAGGATGACAAAGGAAATCCTGTACGCATGACTTTTAAGTATTATATGCACTATTTAGAAACAGAAGGTTTTAAAGATGATAGTCCACTGTACATTTTTGATTCGTCTTTTGGAAGACGTGGAAAATCTAAGAAAGCCAGTGTTGAAGAGCTTAAAAGAAAAAATTCAAACCCGAAATCTAAGGAATGCCTGTTGAAAGATTACAAGGTTCCTACTTATTTCGACGATGATCTCTTTCGTTTTACAGGTGAAAATCGCAGACCTCCATACCGCTGGTTTGTGCTTGGTGGTGGAAGAAGCGGAACTGGGTAAAATAATTTTTGTCTCGCCAGTATGGAATTCTTTAATGGTTGAGATATTTATTTTAACCAATATATTTTCTATAGAATTCATTCTGACCCATTAGGAACTTCTGCTTGGAACACTTTGTTGGTTGGCCACAAACGCTGGTGCCTTTTTCCACCATCCACGCCTCGCAAATTAATTGATCCAAAACAGAAAGATCATGAAGCTGTAACTTGGTTTGCATGCGTCCTTCCTAAGCTACTTGAAGTTCATGAAGGAAAGAACAAAAGTCTTGCTGAGGAATACGGAATGATTGAAGCGTTACAAGGACCTGGTGAAACAATGTTCGTACCAGGTGGATGGTATCACGTGGTAATGAATTTAGGTAAAGTATTAATTTTTACTTATGTTTTAGGGTAATAAACGCATTCATAAACAAGAACTTTTATTATAGATTTTACAATTGCCGTCACACAAAACTTTTGTTCTCCAACTTCTATTGAACAAGTTTGGTTACACACTCGAAACGCACGCCCTAAACTTGCGCAAAAGCTTTTATCAAAGATTGTGCGATTGTCAACCATCGGAGGAACAAGACATAGTAAAAACTTTTATCGAAATTTGGTAAATAAGATTAAAGGTTTGGAAACAGTTCCTGCATTACCCGAAAGTAGTTCTAGTAGTAGTAGTAGTTCTACTAGTTCTAGCGAGAAAGGTTCAACTGATGATGATGGTGACACCGAAGTGAGTGAAACAGAGAGCGAGGAGGATGGGCCAGATGGTGAGTGTCGTTGTTATAGTTGCAAAATGAAGGCTAAGAGAAAAGCGAAGAGACAAGAAAGAGAAAACCAAAAATTGGAAATGCAAAAAGAATGGGAAAAGCGAAGATACGAGAACAATACTGGTGGAATGCTTAAAAGGGATGAAAGAATGACAATTGAGGATGATAGGGACAGGAAAAAGAGGAGGGAAATGTAATCGAGAACATAATATACAAGATAGATGTAAGACTTAAATAATCAATTGACAATTCAAATTTTTCTTTGCTATTTGTTTGGTAGAATAATGCTGACTATGAATGTACTCTTGATTATAAAAAATACTGATAGATTATAGATTTTATAAAGCATATCTTTAAATAAAAGTCTACGATTTTAGACATCATAATTTATCTTAATGTGGCGCAGGATTATTTTATTACATTAACATAATTGGTAAGAATTGGTACATAGAATTGTGTTTAATGCACCCAATAGGCATTCATTAATTAAGTTCGTGTGAAATTTTACCGATAATCTTTATATAATCGGTGCAACCTTCGCGATAAAATTTTTTAGCGTTAGTGAACCGTCTTTTTCGGCAGCCTCTTTCGTAAAGTTTACAAAACCCCACTAAAAAAAAAAAATTTTACAAAAATGTTTGGCGTACGGCGGCTTAACGTTGAAATAGCTAAACGTACTTTTTCTTCTTCAGCAGCAAACGCTACTAAAGTAGCTGTCCTTGGTGCCGCCGGTGGTATCGGACAGCCGCTTTCCCTTCTTCTCAAACATAATGATTTAATATCTCATTTGTCTCTTTTCGATGTTGTCAACGCACCCGGTGTTGCTGCTGACTTGAGCCATATTAACGAACCCAGCAAAGTATGAAATTTATTATTTTTAAGGTTATTCCTTTCGTCATTTGTTCCTTTCGCCCCTACAATTCTTTTTAAACTTAACAGGTCACTGGTTACTCTCCTGATAACGATGGTCTTAAACACGCTGTCACAGATGCCTCAATAATTGTCATTCCAGCCGGAGTTCCTCGTAAACCTGGCATGACTCGTGATGATTTGTTTAACGTAAGTTATTTAATCAACATATATGACATTTTCTATTGAATCAAGTTTTGCAATAATTATCTTTTAATAATATAGACCAATGCTGGAATTGTCAGAGATTTAGCTACCGCTGCTGCACAGTAATTGTCATTCACAATATGAATCTGTTTAATTTATTTTTATTAACAAAAGTCTTTTCATGATCAGGTATGCGCCTAAGGCATATATGGCAATCATATCAAATCCCGTTAACTCTACTGTGCCAATTGTATCTGAAATATTCAAAAAACATAAAATCTATGATCCAAAAAGGTGAGCATCATACTTTAATTTCTGCTCATTTATATTCATTCATTCACAGCATATAAATAAATAAAAGAATTTTTGGAGTCACAACGTTAGATATTGTCCGTGCATCCCGTTTCGTATCTGAATTAAAGGGTACTAATCCTAAAAATGAGAAAATCGTTGTAGTCGGAGGGCATTCCGGTGTGACCATCATCCCTCTTTTATCTCAGTCTGGCTCGAATTTCACCGATGATGAATTGAAAGCTTTAACGCACAGAATACAATTCGGTGGTGACGAAGTGGTTAAAGCTAAAGCTGGTGAGTATTAATGACGCATTTTATTTACACTACTAGGTATTAAAAATGTTATTGAATCGTGATCATTATTAATGCATTGCGATAATACAGGAACTGGTTCAGCGACACTCTCTATGGCTTACGCAGCTAATCGTTTCACCGGTTCTCTACTCCGTGCACTAAAAGGTGAAAGTGGTATCATTGAGCCTGCTTACGTGAAATCTCATTTATTTGAATCTAAGGGAATAGAATATTTCGCATCAAACGTCGAATTAAGTCGCGAAGGTGTGGGCAAAGTTCACGACCTGGGACCATTAAGTCAATATGAAAACCAGCTTTTAGAGGCTGCTTTACCTGAACTAAAGAAAAATATCGAAAAAGGGGTCGATTTTGTTCATAAATAATAATCTTTGTACTTGTTCAGGACGTATATAGTCAAACTCTTTTAAACCGATCACTTTGAGCTAGTTTTAATAGAAAAAATATCAGCTTATAGAGTTTAGTTTCATACTAAAATATATATACAGTAATGAATAAGTCTAGAAAAATGATTGACTTATATATAGAGTTTGTCGACTTGAAAAGTTTATGTATTATTATAATCAAAAAAAAAAGGATTGCCGTATAATGCTCATTAAATTATATAGATGGATAATATTTAGTAACACAAATTAGAGTTTCGAATTCAGTTCGTGTTCAAATAAATATTTGTCGCGGATTAACATGAGGATTCCCAACTTTAAGTAACCACGCGATTTTTTTTGGAAATTTACATATTGTAAGGCCGGCCTCTAAACTATGTACAATAAAATGAGTAGACAGAATGGGTAAAGTTTCCATTATACGTTTTACCATAAATTACTAAAAAATTCAGTTCCTTAAGTCAGTTAACCTGATTATTCAGCATAAAGATGTCCGTTATATTGATAATTGACTGTATATTAATCATAATGTGGCAAAGAACGAATGAGAGTTTACTAATTTACTAATTCGATATATTCTTATGGCGATAAGGCTCGAAAGTAAATTTGCGAAATTTTATTTTTCCTGCTTCTTAAAATGAGATTGTCAGGATATAATGGCACATTTAATGCACTTAAAGTTTTCAACACAACTGATTATCATTAAGACACATAAGAGTAACTCTTAAATGATTTGGTTATTCTAATATGACAGTTGCACCAAGCCCCTCTAAAGTCTTTTTGATCTTTTCAGCTTCTTCTTTATTAACATTTTCTTTAATAACCTTAGGTGCACTTTCAACAAATTTCTTGGCCTATAAAAAAAAAAGAAAAAAATTTATTGTTGCTTGAATAAATAAAATATCAGTAAAGTATGCCTACCTCAACAAGATTTGTACCCGGTAAAATGTTCTTCATTTCACGAATTATCTTCGTTTTTGCATCCGCATTATATTTTTCCAGTTTTACTGTAAAGGCTGTCTTTTCGGGAGCTTTCTCCTCCTCCTATGTAGGATTACAAAAAAATTAATATACCTAAAGTTAACTGAATATAAATCGTTTAAACATTATTGAAACTTGCTTTAACTGGTGCGGCGGCTTCACTTGCTGGAGCAGTGACATTGGAAACGTTGCTAATTGCGGGTAGAACCACATCTTGAATATTCAAGCGAGTCTTCGATATTATAAAAAAACGTAAAATAAGTCTTTAACGCACTATATTAATAATCTTTAAATAATACTAAAAAAAATTACTTTCAATGCTTGCACAAGTTCTGCCGTTTCAATCAAAGTCAACGAGGAAATTTGGTCGACAATACTTGCAATTTTAGTATTGGTCACCTCTTTGTTTCCTGGTGGAGGAAGTTTAACTTTCTCAGCGGGTGCTGCTTCGGTGGCATAGCTATAGCTATTAAGTGAAACCGTTTTCGCGAATGGCGAAAGACGAAAGGCGAAACCCCTTGACGAAAGGCGAAACCCCCGGCGAAAGGCGAAACCCTTGGCGAAAGGTGAAACTCCCGGCGAAAGGCGAAACCCTCGACTAAAGACGAAACATCTGGAGAAAGACAACACCTCAAAGCTCTAATAAAATTGATGTAGAGCTATGTTAGAAACAAAAGCATGTTATATAATAATCTTATATTGGGGAAATATACCATTACTGCTAAAACAAAAACTAGCCTTCGAGGCCTTTAAATTAAAAACTTACCGGACTCAGCCCCTTAAAAATCTGAGTTAAATTATATCGATATACGGTCTTTTTCGATTTTTAACAGCTGCCCTACCCTTATCTTCGCTAGTTGTTAAATAAATATCTTCGCTAGTTGTTAAATAAATATCTTCGCCAGTTATGAAATAAATATCTTCGCCAATTATTAAATTAATGTTTTCGCTGATTATGTTATTTATACCTTTCGTTGAGTATTAAATTACCGTTACTTGCTGATTGTTCGTATTTTTCAATTCCCGTTATTAATTAATCTGTCCGGACTGGTCTTTTTCAGGACCGATCCAACCCTAGTCTAACAGATATCTGATCTCGACCATAATAATAATCGCCCGTGATCTTGACATTTTATTTAAGTATAGTAAGTTATATTATTAAATAAAAATCAATAAAATTGTTATTTCCGATTGAAGAACTATCGTTAGATTTGGCCTTTAAAAACCTCTGACTTATATTTGATCAGATTTTCACTAGCTGAATTTGATAAATAATAATGATAAGGTTGAAAGTCTGAAGTTTCATTTTCTTATGATAGAGTTTATACATTTTATCTATCTTTTTTATTTCAGTATTTTTTTTTTTAGTATTCATATTATTTTTTATTTCCAATTAGTTATCCAATCTTACATATAATATCTTTATTCATCATATTATCTGTTAATACTGTCGTTAATTATTTTACATATGAGATCTTAATTCGCTCGCGGAAAAATTATAGTCCCGTGATATATTGTTAGCAAAAATCCTATGATCATGCGATTTACGGATAGCAAAGTTTAGGCCGGCATTTATCAATAATAATAACTAACTATATTATAGCAAAATTAGCGTCTGGCAATATTTAGCGCGTGGATTATTGGATTATTAGCAAAATTTATCAATTTCGATCCTTTCCATCTGAATTTTGGTTGCACAACCAATCTATTCCGATTTACGACGTTTCTAACTACTGATTTATTACAACCGCAAAAACCGGATTCGGTCGCAAAACCGAATTACTCGGGTTTATTTAAATTCGGGTTAAAACCGGTTTAAGTTGAAGTTGAAAAATTAAATCCGAATTGTAAAGATAAAATCGGTTCCGTATAAATTTATCTGTACTATGATCATTTTTAACATTAAATTAACGTTGTACCCTAACTCAAAGTTGGTCAATTAACTCCTGCCAGTTCCGGACCGAACCTTTAACATATATAATGCAATTTTTCATGTGGTTATTATTTCAGCCTCAAAATACGTTGAAATTCGTACAACTTCCTTAGAATATTCTAAACTAAATTTAGACAATAGTTCACATTTTCTAAACCTTGATTAGTATATGTACCTGTATGTGTAATGTGATTGTCGTAAATCCGAGTGCTTAATTTCTATTTAAGGTTAAATCAAGAAGAATTTTGATGTGCGACCGAAATACATACATTTGAAAAAAATTTTCTTCAACACATTCCCAAATTCTAAAAATGGTTGTTTTACATATTCTTTTTTTTAACGACCTTTCTCATGATGACCGAAATTTTGTTATATAAATCGCGTAAACCGCAGTGTTTTTTATTTGCTTTTTGAAAGCTATTCAATATGGTATCTTCAGTTGAGTTAGGATATAATCATGAAAGATTGTCTATCGAAGAGTTAATAAAAATCGGCTTCGAAGAAGTTGAAGAAGTTGAAGATCTAGATAATATGAAATGCGTACATACTGGGTGAGTTTTCTCATAGAGTATTTGCCGAGTTATAATGTATTCGAAGTTACGCTGCCACATCAGTGCAATGAAATCTGGTAGAGAATTGAAAGCTCTTCGTGGCCAACTGTTTCGATAGTTGAATGTTCTTCTCTATCAGTTATTGATGTTCCTGAAGAAAAACGGGGCCTCTCTGCGTTAGAAGAGGTTGCTGCTAGGAAGTTGGTGAATAGGATACATTATAATATCGAAGCATTAACCGTTGACTATTCCGGCGTGTATTCTTTATTTAGTTGATAATTATGACGCAATACTCACTTTTATTATTTCAATTAATAATAAACCTGGTGATGGAGGGATCGATGCTATCTGTATGGTCAGAAACATCAAGATCCTATTCCAGTGTAAAAACTTTTAAAAAATAAAGTCTATCGGTAATTATATAAAATATTAAATGCTTATTGAATTAAACAATATAATATTTATTAAATAAAAATAAATTTATATGGTACAATCGTCCAACTACATGATAACGTAGTTGGTCGATATATGCGTAAACATGGAGGAGTCGCTATTGGTATCGTGGTAGCTCCTGCTATGGACAGGTTCGCATCCGGTGCATTTAAAGCAGCCAAAGCCAAAGATGCTGAGAATGTCGTTCTCTTGTCAAGTATAAACGATTTACGTTTTTATATCCTTAATATAGCTGTTAACAGTTTATATGAGGAGAACTCTTTCTATTTTAGTCTACCTTATTCTGATAATGGCGAGAGAACAACATTCTAAGTTTTTTTAATATTTCTGTTTTCTTGTATATAAACCTTTTTTACATTCTTTCCTTAATACCAAATTCACCAGAGTGTGATACATGGGTCACTTAAGCATTGACCTCCACGTGGTGTGACCTGGATAACCAACCAACAAATGCTCGTTTTATTTTTATTTATGTATGTTTTAATAATTCTTATCTAACGTATCCGATTTATTGATAAATACTAGTGTCGTGAATAGCGAAATATCCTAAATCAAGATTAGCAAAATAACTCGGGTAATTTTAGACTGAACCTTTATTTTGTTTAAATGTATCAATTTCTATAATGTATTCTGTATTTATCCCGTATTTATTTTTATTTTTATATAATAAAGCTGGCCCTGGTGGCTCAATTTCACAAAAATAATCAGTTTACTTTTGCGTGTATATTTCATGAATTTATTTATTGTACAGATATCGATGTATATTAACTCGCATATAATCGAAGGTTTTTTCACGCAGACATCAGTCCGCAGACAATACGTAGTATAGACATCATGTATCACGAGCTAGGTCCCGAACATTTGTATTTATTTTTCGCATGTATTACAGCTGTTTTCATAAATTCTGGGACACCCTAAAAAAATTTCCCGAAGTCTATTCGGCCGAAGTCGATAAGTCATTGATTTCGGGAATAATAAGATTCAGTAACAGATAATATCACGTAATTTAATAAAATCAGGCGACTAATATATATTACAATACAGCAGTAAGACTAAAATCGGCATGATCCATTTTCGCTCAAATGAAGCCTTTATTCATTTCTCGATGAAAATTCATTTTTAAAAAATTATGTAAATTTTCAATTCCTATTCTTTGGAAAAATACATTTTCGCTCAAACGAAGCCTTTATTCATTTTTAATGATTTTTCAACGA